TTTTTTTGCCAGTTTTCAAAAACTACCCATTCACATGGGCAAAAAACACCGGTCAAATGAAAGGGTTCTCTTAATGACTGCAGGCTTTGGTTAACGATCATCCCAGAAAAAGCTTATTTCTGGTCACGTGGGTACGGTCGACGTAGGACTGCAAATCTGTGATCAATTATTTAATTTTATTTTACATTTTTTGTCCCACCTTTATTATTTTTTTTGTAAATAAGTCAAGGTAGCGAACATATCTAATACACCTTCTTCCTCCTATTTTCTCCACAGCAACAACCCGTGGAGGTGGGTTTGGCTGAAAGACAGTAACTGTCCCAAAATCACCCAGTTGGCTTTCATGGCTAAGGTGGGACTAGAACTTCTGATTTTTAGCCTAGACTTTTAACTACTAAACCAAACTGGCTCTCAATTGTGGTTGTAAGTTGAGGACTATTGCTTAAATGGTTACCATAAGTCTCTGGAAGAACAGTGGAATATTTATATAATTATACTGCAGCTATGTAGCTATGTAGCTAGCTAGCTAGATGACAGATAGATAGATAGATAGATAGATAGATAGATAGATAGAGAGAGAGAGAGAGAGAGAGAGAGAGAGACAGACAGACAGACAGACAGACAGACAGACATGCATATAGATATACTGTATTTTATAAGCAAACATACACATATTCTGACATCATCCTTGCCTTTAAGAAACAAGTTAAAGGATATCACTCGTAAAGATGTTAAAAGGGAAATAATCAGCAACAATTTCAGTGCCAAAGTATTTGATCTAGAACACATAAGACCAATGCTGTTATCTCACTTCAACATTATTTTTGATACAGTAAATATGTCCAAGTGGAAAAAGAAATACCATCTGCCCTAAATAAATAAATTGCATAATTGTATGGAATTTTAATAAGTTACATTTCTCTGATAAGCCCTTTTTTGTTACAGATTGTGAGATTTTTTTTTCTTACAAAGCAATTATCGCATGGAAAAATCCTACTAGGTTCTTTTTTTTCTATATATGGTAGAAGCAAAGCTTTCCTTAGGAAGGATGACATTTTAAGCTCTTCTATTTTTCCCCAACTCTTGCAGCAGCACTGAGAAACAGCTTTTGAAACTGCAGATAACAAGAAAAACACTGTTATTTGTGCCGATCCCGTTTCTCGACTAAAATCCTGCCTTAGTAGAAACCAGTCACTTTATTTTCTATAGACCACGGGTGTCAAACTCGCCGTGTCACGTGATGTGTTGCGATATATCGCGACTTTTTTTGCACTGCCGGAGCTGGAGTGGGTGTGGCCTCCGCATGATGCAACCAGCCCACGGGCCGGCAGTTTGACACCCCTGCTATAGAATTTATTTATCCTATGGTTTGGGCTATCTTTCCCCAAAGATATGAGAAAAACCAAAGTATCTTACATAGACTTCCTATTTCGATATTATTTAAGAGCAAAATAAACAGGGGTAGAGACTACATCAAGGACTTTCTGTCCTATTTGTTGGGGGGGAAATGGCCTAGAATTCCAATACAAACTAGAGCAGGGGTAGTCAACCTTGGCTCTTTTATGACTCGTGGACTTCAATTCCCAGAATTCCTGAGCCAGCTTAGCTGGCTCAGGAATTCTGGGAGTTGAAGTCCACGAGTCATAAAAGAGCCAAGGTTGACTACCCCTGAACTAGAGCATGCCACAAACTCTTGGATAACCAGAGGATCTTGAAGTTTGCTCTGTAAAAAATACCAGCTATGCTCAGAATAGCATGGAAGTTCTGATTTGTTTATATCCAGACCCAAGCAAATTTTTGAATCTGGGCTTCACAAGCAGCTGCTAAGTGTACCCATCCTGCAAGAGACCTCTTCCTGTTATCTGCTTAAACCCCCTACATAATTTTCTTTAAATATTCATAAATGACATTTCAGGGCCATGCCTTCTTAAAGTGGTGAGTCCATGGGGTCTATATACAAATAAAGAGGATGAACAAACGAACCTTCCAAGACTGGAGTATCTAAATAAAAAGCATATTGTGGGGATAAACAAAGCCCTAGGACTTCAGCATAAAGAAGGACAAATAAATCTTGTAGCCTTAGAAACATAAAAATATATGTAGCTGGGCCAGACATGTTTTAAAGTGCACTTCAGAGACATACGAAGGAGCTAAATATAATTCATTCAGAAGAGAGTTATCTGTATGGTCAGCATAAAGAAAGCTCTACTTTATATGCAGTGAATTTCTATTATCACTTGTAACATGTGACGATCTTAATTCATTTGACCTCTTTCCTCCTTGACCTCATATAACACTTAAATTAGCAACTTCCTCCTGAAATAGAACTGTTTTGCATTTCCTTGTTCCTCATCATATACAGAAAATAAATAACACAAACAAGATGATATGTTATGAGATAGTGTTCTGCCAAAAATTAAATATAGTTTCCTGAAATATTGCAAGTGTATGGCAAACATGCAATTTATGTATAGTATCTGTTTAATTTGAAGAAGCCATCTGAATTCTACAAAATTTTAAAAAAAATGCACAGGTGAAAGCTTGTGCACTCTGCATGTAGTGCCGGAGAAAGGGGTTTTATCTTTCTTGTGAGCAGGTGCATCTCATATTTATATGTGGGGTATAGTTTGTGAATGGAGCTTATACTCATAGGGTCCAAAACATATAAGTAATGTCTGACAGGTTCACACTCCATTTGAAGACAGACTGGTGGAGGCCTGGGGATGATATTTTTTGATTCCCTGCCCTATAGAACAGCCTCCTTCCAGAGTTCAGATTGGGGACAACCTTGGCTTCATTATAGAACGTTTCTCAACCTTGGCAACTTTAAAATGTGGGGACTTCAACTCCCAGAATTCCACAGCCAGCATGCTATGATCATGTGATGCAGAACACCGCAACTGTTGTAAATGCAAGGTGGTGACCGAATGCCCAAATTGCAATCACATGGATCTCAGGAGCGGTGCAGCAGTTGTAACTTCAAGGAGGGTTACAATATCTCAGGGGCTGCCACAAAGAAGAGGGAGTCGAGCTATTTTCCAAAGCGCCTGAAGGCAGGACAAGAAGCAATGGATGGAAACTAACCAAAGAGAGAAGCAACCTAGAGCTAAGGAGGAACTTCCTGACAGTTAGAACAATTAATCAGTGGAACAACCTGCCTCCAGGAGCGGTGAATGCTCCAACACTGGAAGTTTTTAAGAAGAAACTGGACAGTCATTTGTCCGAAATGGTATAGGTTACCTGCCTGAGCAGGGGGCTGGACGATGACCTCCAAGGTCCCTTCCAACTATTATTATTATTATTATTATTATTATTATTATTATTATTATTATTATTATAAGTCAATTTTTTCAGTGTAGTTATAACTTTGAATTGTCAATGGTCAGTCAAGGACTATCTATCTGTATGTGGTTGCTAAGAGTCAACAGCAACCTGATGTCATGTAATCAATCAATTTTCTGTAAGTTTTCTAAACAGAACATTTAACATATCCATATTAATTTTAAAGATTAGAAATTTTAAAAGGTATGCATTTTCTAGCAATACTTTTGTGCTCTTACTACTTTTTGATGGCTAGCTCTCTTATCACGTGCTAGACATACCTTGCTCTTGATTACTGAATGTGTGAACTAACTCTTTCGAAAAACTCTGCAGTTAAGAAGATATGCCAATCTAATCCATGAGAGTTCTTTCACTGAAGCAACTTACAGTTGCATTTTGCAATTAATTAAAATAGGTGTGTCCAAACTTTCTTCCTGTTCTCTTTTTCCCCCCCTGTTGCTAGAGGCGTGCAGAAGGTTAGATCTAATTTCCTATTTTTTTCAGACAATAACCAGCTCACTTTTTGTTGTATGTTAAGGATATATGTCCTTAACGGAATGAGCTATGTATATAGTATTGGAAATGATCTTTACGGAAGTGCAGATAGTCCTCAACTTATGACCACAATTGAGCACAAAATTTCTGTTGCTAAGCGAGAAAGTTGTTCAGAGAATTTTGCCCCATTTTACGACCTTCTTGTTGTTAAGTGAATCACTTCAGTTGTTAAGTTAGTAACATAGTTGTTGAGTAACTCTGATATCCCCATTGACTTTGTCAGAAAGTGACAAAAGGTGATCACATGACCATGGGACTCTGCAACCGTCATAAATATGAGTCAGTTGCCAAGCATCCAAATTTTGATCAGATGACCATGGGGATGTTGCAACGGTCGTAAGTCACTTTTTTCAGTGCCATTGTAATTTCAAATACTCACTAAATGAACTGTTGTAAGTTGAGGACTACCTGTAGAAGACAAAACAGAAATGCTAGGGCAGTGGTTCTCAACCTGTGGGTCGGGACCCCATTTGGGGTCGATCGACCATTTCACGGGGGTCGCCAAGCAAGGCTGTCCGCCTTCTTTTTGTCAGCCATTTTTTTCCCCTTTTCCGGCAGGTGCCTTACCTCCCTTGGGCTGGGCCAGCTGGTGGTCGGCCTGCTCTGTCTCTGCCGCTTGCCAGCTACGCCTCGGCCAGCGCAGGGGGCGGAACCACGCATGCGTGGCGCTCCCGGGCAGGGAAAGTCCTCGACTTACGACCGGTTGGGTAGTCCTCAACTTACGACCGCTTTAGTCCTCGGTTTACGACCGGTTTAGTCCTCAACGTACGACTGGTTGGGGTCGCGGCATTAAAAAGGTTGAGAACCACTGTGCTAGGGCAATAAATTGTCCGATCTTGCAGGCTTAAATAAAAATCATCCTCATTCTGCAAAGCCTGAGCTCCCAAACAGAGGCATAATTTTTTTTCCCCTTTCTTACCTCATAAAACATATAGAAGGACAGAAGAGTAAGTCCAATATTGTAGACCACTAGAATTCCCCTGCATGAAAACGGCTGTCGGTTCCGCATATACTTTGGTCCTAGCCATATAATTAATAAATATAAGACAGAGAAGATAAAGGTAGGTCTGTAGTTCGTCAAGAGAAGCCATCCTTTTACTCTGGGATCTGAAATAGAAAACAATTTTTATTACTATTGTTCGTATTTTGCAGCAGCTGAGATTTTACCCTAGCAAATAGCTGCCCAGTCCAGATTCCGACACCTCCCTCTCCCATCTCTGTAGGAAAGCTTCAGTCATAGAAACTGAAGGAATAATAGCTGGTAAATACACTAGAAGTCTTTTGTTCTTATTTATGCAACAGCACTCCCCCTCTCATATGAGGTCCAATTTAACTGTGCTGTTGCTAAGGGAAGTATAACTAATTATGTTCTCTTTACTTTATAAAATGCTGTTCCCCGAAGGAGCACTTGATGTGCCACTTTTCATATTTGTTTCTAAAATCCTGATTCAAAGTACCTGCAGGCCCTGTTATTTTTTTTAATTCTCCATTTTCGGTTGAATTTTATCGCCCACATCCTAATATGGGATCATGTTTTTTAATAAGAGGGGCTTTAAATGAGACAAAGTGCCCGACTTGCCGTTTAATTTGCTGTTCTTGCAGTTTTATTGATGAAAATAGCCTGCAGTGCAGCAAAATAATGGGTATTAAAGATTATTTTTTCCCAAACAGCTTTGAATTCTCTTGGGGAGAACTGCTTCAGCTCCTCCATTCAACATGGCCTTCCAGGAGTTAGAATTTAAAACTTTCATCCATTCATATTTAACAATACTGGGGCTTCATCTTAATTCCCATTCATTGGATGGCACAATTAAGCAAATGAGAGCCGGTTTGATCTAGTGGTTAAGGCACCAGGCTAAAAACCGGGAAATGGTGAGTTTTAGCCTCGCCTTCAGCATAAAAGCCATCTAAGTGACTGCTGTTTCCCATGCAAATACCTCAGATACCAATGTCAGTGTGGAATGTGGCACTACTGAATTTTAATCTTATAAGTAGTCTAAATGCCTGGAATAAATGTTGTGCCAATTATGCTGAGCCAACTTTGAGCTGGCTTTGGATACAGATGAAGACTAATAAACATCTGAGGAATTCTATGAAGTATATTTAAGAGGCAACAGCAATTATTTATTTTACCCTACTTGTAGAAGTCAAGAGACTGAATCAGTGTAGGAAGAAATGCCTCGCTGTCCTCTCTTCCCTATTATTTTTAATATCTCAACTTTATTATTTTTTATAAATAACTAAAGCTGGGGAACATGCCTAATACTTCTTCCTCCTATTTCTCCTACAACACCAACTGTGTGGGGCAGGTGAGCTGAGAGGGAGGGACTGGTCAAGAGTCATTCAGACAACCTTCATGCCTAAGGCAGGACTAGAATTCACTGTGTCCTAGTGATTGGCCCAAAGTCACTTAGAAAGCTTTCCTGCCTAAGGTGGGACTAGAATTCACCATCTCCTGGTGATTGGCCCAGAGTCATTCAGATGGCTTTTATGCTTAAGGTGGGACTAAACTCAGTTTCCTGGTTTCTAGACTAGCATCTTAACCCCTACACCAAACCAGCTTTCTGTTATTAAATGTCCCATCTACTTGCGCCAATGGTTACAGCAGGAAGGATTTTACAGTCTGACTGAGAGATGCCAGAACGGAGAAAGATGTACAGATAGCCCTCGACATACAACCATTCATTTAGTGATCTTTCCAAGATACAACAGAACTGGGGAAAAAATGACTTATGACCATTTTTCCACATTTGCAACCGTTGTAGCATCTGCATGATCAAAATTTGGATGCTGGGCAACTGGCTTATATTTAGGATGGTTGCAGTGTCCTGGGGTCATGTGATCATCTTTCTGACAAGCAAAGTTAATTGGGAAGCCAGATTCACACTGTAACCATGTTACCAACTTAAAAACTGCAATGGTTCACTTAATAACATGGCAAGAAAGGTTGTAAAATGGGGCCAAAATAACAACTGTCTCACTTAGCAACAGAAATTTTGGGCTCAACTGTGGTCGTAAGTCGAGGACTACCTGTAGGGGGAGTTTATTTTCTTGTGGTTTAGAAATGGGTATCAAGTTTATTTCCTTTAGATTATAGATCTGAGAAAGGCTAAACCTTTAGAGCAGGCATGTCAAACTGCCGGCCTGCAGGCTGAATGCATCACGCCGAAACCGCGCCCACCCCAATGGGGAAAAAGTTGCAATATTATCATGTGACGTCGCGAGTTTGACATGCCTGCTCTAGAGAAAAACAGCCCTCCAGCTAATCATGCCTGAAGCTGTCGCAGCCGAAACAGGCAGAGACTAGGCGCTGTCTGGATCCTAACAGTTCAAATCTTTGAAAGTGAGCTACATACCTCTTGGCCCAAGCCAAACATCCAGGTAGCTATTGATTGTTTTATCCAGTGATTCCATTGTATCACCTAGAAAGAAAGAGGAAAAAAACATTTATTTTTTCTATAGAAGATCTGACTGAGACCCAGTTAAGATTTAACTATAATTCTGAACATTTGATGCAGTTTTATAGGAACCGCCATCATATATTTTTGTTTTGTCTTTCCTTATCTTTCTAAAACATGTGAGAACAGTTGGCATTAGGTAGCTGTATTTTCTGTACTAACTGTACTTGCTGCATATCCTTTGACAGTAGCACAAAGTTAAGACCTGCTCTAACTAAGCTGCACACTGAAATTACAAAGGATTCTCTTCAATTGCTTTAGAAGGTTAAAAAAGATTTAATGAATCTTACAATGATATTTGCTGAAGGGTGGGCAGCACTGATGATGTCCTGATGTTTTATATCACAAATAACCCCTGAGCATTTACTATGTCTGAAGCTCATGGGAGTTGTAGTCCAAAAAATCTGAAAAAGACCAGATTGCCTTCCTTTGCAAAAAAAAAAAAAAAAAAAAAAAGGAGTTTTAAATAGGTAGTTAACAGTGTGATGTGTCTCGGGAAAGCTATTTTCGAATCTGGCAATTGTGACATATAGAAAAGCTGGTAAAACCACTGTTTCTGAACACAACATTGCTGAACACAATTAAACTTTAATGCAACAATAGTTGGGTGAGCCCGTTGTCTGGTTGTACTGTCTGTGCGGAGTTTGATCATTCTCGGCTGTTTTAAATTATTTACGTTTTTGATCACTGGCTGTGTTTTATTTTGCTCCTATTTCTTTTGTCCGCTGCCCAGAGTCATGTGTAGGAGATAGGCTGCCATAAAATTTACTAAATAAATAAATAAGAGGGAAACCATCTCTACTCCTTTCAAACACTGACAAGTCAAGGCTTGAAATGAAAGAGGTGTAGCCTGCTTTCTAACTAGTCACATTTTAGTAAAATAATTTTAAGCAAGGTATTTTTCCAACTGTTTGCCCTTCTCCATTTTATAAATAATTCTGACTCACCTTTTTCTTCTTCTTTTCTTTTTGGTGAATGGATAGTACACTGCAGTATTTAAATTAATGGAGGACTCTCATACAGATCTTAGGAGCAGCTTGATCTTTCGGAACTATAACACAGCAGAACAATCTGTGACTTTATATAAAGCTGCCTCATCAACTGAGTGAGAGGAGTTGACTTTGTCAAATTAACTTTGGCTAAGCCTTACCTCTTATGACTATGTAAACAGGGAAGGGAGGCAACATAGTGGTCAAAAATACAATTCAGAAACACCTAATGGCGGGGAAGCTTTGTGGCCAGTTTTCATATTAGCCTTCCAACGTCAGGTGCTACCTGGGAGGATTTCTGCTTTGCAAAACAGGATCATACACAAACAGGACCATACATTGGATTAAAAATACTTTCCACTAGTGATAGCCCTGAATATTTATTATAAGCCTTCCGACTGCCAAGCAGCCTACAAAAGCAAAAGAAATATAGTTGAATTGAACAAGTAAAATATGATCAAGGGTTCTTTTTTAAGAATATTCTAAAGTTGAATTCTTCTTGGGAAATACTTCCCAAGTATTTCTTTATTTATTAGTTCAATTTATATGACTGCCCATCTCATGTTTATGATTCTGGGTAGCTAACCCTGTATTTGTAAGTGCTGCAAAGAGAATCATAAGTTGTTTCTTTAAATATCTTCTTCTCTTTTTTTCATCTATCTGTATCTGTCATTCTCTTTTTCTTCTATCTTTCCAGTTTCTCTTTTTATATCTTTTTTTCTTTTATGTTTTATAGATTTTAACCTTTAAAAAAAACAATACAAAATATACATGTACAGTATATTCCTTTAATTCTCCTTACTCTTGAGCCCAGTAATGATATTAATATTATTCTTTGATATGTATTTGTATCACCAACAGAACCAATACTTAACTGTATTTTAGCTTAACACGTTTTGACAGCTGATCTCATACAGTTGGTTTATGAGCAAACCCAGAAAGCCAGGTTGAGTAAATAGTAATTTACTATGACTTGGCATGACATGCGAACATAGCCAATGAATGCTTTTCAATGGAGAAGGGAGTGCATGAGTGGTCTTTGATTCAGACATTAATACATTCTCTTGGACATAACAAAGATTTGTCTTAGCAAGTGGCAGCCCTCAGCTAATCCTGGTTGGGCTCAGATCATTAGCGTGGTGGGACCCGATTAGTATTTGATCAGGAGACTGCAGGTAATGGTAGGGTTTTAACTTACATTGAAAAGAAAAAAAGATAACAACAAAAAAAAATACTAAAAAAAGGCAGCGTCAAATGACTTTGGTAAAGTTGCATGGCACTACATAACATCCTGGAGTCACCAAGCAATGAGCCTTTACTGGAAGAGACATTATCTTTAACAGAGATCTACTGCATATACATACATACATACATACATACATACATACATACATACATACAAAAGCAAGCTGAGTTTAAATGATTTCCTTTAAGGCAGGAATCCCAACCCCCAGGCTGGTACTGGTTCATGGCCTGTTAGGAACTGGGCCACAGGGCTGGAAGTGAGCAGCGGGCGAGCAAAATTGTACATGTGAGGGATCTAGTTTGCGCGCTCCCACCACCACCACCTCAGTCCATGGAAAAATTGTCTTCCACGAAATCGATCTTTGGTGCCAAAAAGGTTGGGGACCGTTGCTTTAAGGTATCTGTAAAGTTGATATGTGTGTGTGTATGTGTGTGTGTGTGTGTATGTATGTATATGTATATGTATCTTATCTGTTGGGTGAGGCACCGGTCTACCAAATATAAATCAGTCTGTTCTACATTTCGCTCCAATCTAGGAGCATGTTTTGCAGGCAGACGTCACATACTGTGAACACTATAAATTTAAAATTAGCTAATGAGCCTGAAATAGCTATACTAGTCTCCCACTAACTCTTTGCCAGCCACAAATTTTGAATTTATAGTGTTCACAGTATGTGACATCTGCCTGCAAAACATGTTCCTAGATTGGAGCGAAACGCAGAACAGACTGATTCATATTTGGTAGACCAGGTGCCTCACCCAACAGATATGATAAGATATATATCCTCCCTGGTTTCTGCTGACAGGAGTAAGGGGAAACCTGTGGCTCAAAAGAGTAATACAGCTGCCTAACATGCAAGCTGCCCAACCCCCATAAAGACCAAAAAGGTCACAAGATACTCTGATTTGTGAAAAAAAAATAGTTAAGGAAGAAAGGATATTTTACATTTATTAATATGCACATAGAGAGCTGATATTTATTAATATTCTGGTCCAGCTCAAGCCAAGTATTATAAGGGGCGGATGCCTAGTTTAAATAACTGGAGCTGTGTAGAATATCTGGGACGCATGTCTGTACTTGAACATAAAATGAATTTTCTAGCATAAGTCATGTAGTGTGTCTAAGGCTGTTTCTGCAAGACACCATGAATCACAGGTTAGCAAGTCACATTTTAGGTTAGCAAGTTGTGTGAGGTGCACCGTGAGCTGTGTAAATTATGGTTAATAAACTATAAGTTCAGATAATGGGAAACGCTAGTTTGGCATAATGGTTAATGGTGCTGGATTGGAAACCTTGAGTTTTGGGTGACCTTGGGCCAGTCACTTTCTCTCAGGCCTAGGAATGAGGCAAGGACAAACCACTCCTGAGAATCTTGCCAAGAGAACTATAGAGACTAGTCCGGGCAATCACCAAGTGTCAAGACTGACTCAAAGGCAAATACACAACAAAGCACATTGTGCTAACACTGCTGTAATAAAGGTGCATTGAAAATTAATACAGATATAGATGATATTTTTGTTTCCTGCTGAAATGGGATACTTAGAATTCCCAAGTGAGTAATCTGGTTGCTACCTAAACCTTCACGTGATCATTTGGATGAGCGACTCTGAATCAGAACAGCAATTGATTTTGTTACATAGTACTGTCATTGACCAAGGCAGGAGGGTAGTCTTAGGTATACAGTTCTATAAGCACTTCAATATTACCCAATGTCAAACTTTGCATTCAAAACCGTTCGGCTGCACTGCTTTCAGCAACCAAAGCACATAATGGAAAACAAAACCGAAGTTGCTATTCAATATCTTTCACACATTTCAAGAAAAATGCATTCGGTAAGAGCGATGCTGAGGTTTTTCTGACAAAGGAGTTGCTCATGCAATATAATGTTTGCAGCAACAGTTTCATGCAAAAAGATTGCAAAATAAAAATTACAAAAAAACATGTGAATATGAAGACCCTAAAGAGACCTAAGAAGAACTTTCCTGTTTTCTGCTCCACACATTTGAATTCTTATCATTTTAATGAACCCATGTTCTCAAAATCACAAGGAAGGGGGGGGGAAACTCACCCTATTTTCTTCCTTTATTACAAAACCGAAGTTTTTGTTTCTCCAAAACTGTTAAAATTAGTCCAAAATACCTTCCAAAAGTAAAGCAGGCTGGGGAGGATTGGAGAGAAACAAGAAATGAAGGGATCTCCGCTGCCACTTAAGATAATTAGAGCTCTTTTGTTTAACAATTTGTTATTCAGATCATGAAAGCTTCCATCTACCAATTTGGATGTAGATGGTAACACAGACAGACAGTCCTCGACTTACAACCACAATTGAGCCCAAAATTTATGTTGCTAAGTGAGACATCTGTTAAGTGAGTTTGCTCCATTTTATGACTTTTCTTGCCACAGTTGTTAAGTGAATCACTGCAGCTATTAAGTTAGTAATACAGTTAAGTGAATCTGGCTTCCCCATTGACTTTGCTGATCAGAAAGTCACAAAAGGGGATCATGTCGTCCTGGACACTACAGCCATCATAAATAGTCAGTTGCCAAGCATCTGAATTTTAATCAGGTGACCATGGGGATGCTGAGATGGTCGTAAGTGTGAAAAACAGTCATAAGTCACTTTTTCAGCGCTGTTGCAACTTCGAATGGTCACTAAACTAACTGTTTTAAATCAAGGACTATCTGTACTCTCTGTTCATAGCTTAATTTGATCTTGTGCGAGGTGACTTATTCAAGAGTGGTCACACAACCAAAACAAGGAAAGAATAAGCAAACAACACCCCTCCCCCTCCAGTCAGCAATAAGGTCTAAGTTGTTAAGGATGTGTGAATGCCCTTCATCATCTGCGTGTTCATATGTTGACCGTATTTCAGCAGCTGGAATCTCTAGTAAACCAAAGCTGCTCTTTATGCACAGGTATGTGTAGACCTTGGCAATTTTAAGACTTGTGGATTTCAACTATGCTGGTGATGCTGGCTGGGGATTTCTGGGTGTTGAAATCCACAAGTCTCAGAAAGTTGCTAAAGTATAGACCAGGGGTCCCCAACCCTGGTCCGTGGACGAGGACCAGACTGTGGCATTCCAGCAACCGGTCCGCACAAACAAGAAAAGCCCCATCCGCGGGATGCAGGCAGCATATAAAACCACGCACCCTCCGGTCCGCAGAAAAAGCTCCCTCCATGGAACCGGTCCCTAGTGCCCAAAAGATTGGGGACCTCTGGCGTAGACCATAGAGAACGGCCTTTGAAACAGACATATAAGCCTTCTAGAACACCTGTCATCTTTAAGACTTCAAGAAGAGCTGCTTTGTGAGCATTATCAAAGTTTCTGAAACATTTTCAATGTCAGACTCATATATTCTTACAGAGGTTTGCTCTAATCATATGGTATGGAGCCAGATTCTGAAGCCCAAACGGGCAGGAATGATGTCCTTCTATATTAATTATATTGCTATTCTTCCAACCAGACTTGGCTACTAGATTTGAGCCCAAATGTAGAAAAAACACCTGTTGGGACGGATCAGTGTGTTCTGGATACATTGAGCTGTGGTCCCTTATTTTGCACCCACATGAAGTACTTTGCCCAGGTAAAATGTAGGCTGCTAAGGAACAAGCAATCTCACAAAACAGTTGGGGACAAGCTTTGTTTTTCTTTTTGTTCCTAGGAAAAACTGTAAACATTTTTTTTTAAGAACTTAAATTCCTGGCTTCAAATGGTAGGATAATACATTGCTAATTTTGCACATAATAGTGGCCAGAAGAGATCTAAAGGCTACAAGGAAGGAGTTTGGGTTTACATGCCATCTTGGAGCTACAATTTGCTTACACCTTTATCTACATTTAAAAACATGGGAGCCTGGAGCGAAAGTCCATAAAAAAACAACCAATAAAATCTGTTTATAGGAAATACAACATTTATTCCTAAGTGCCAATTATGAGGAAGATGACAAAAGAAAAAGCAAAGCTCCCTACACATCAGGCTACCTTCCAAGCTACTTATGTGCCTCCACCCAAAAGGTGAGGCACATAACTTGTTTAATTCTGCTATTAAAGATAGAGTCCTGCTCATATTGGAAAAAGGCCAGCCGATGTTTTGCTGTAGGACAGGGGTGGGGAACCATGGCTCCTTTATGACTTCAACTCTCAGAATTCCTGAGCCAATAGGAATTCTGGGAGTTGAAGTCCACAAGTCATAAAGGGGCCATGGTTCCCCACACCTGCTGTAGGAAATGCAGTCTTGTCTCCCTCCATTCCAGTTGTGTTTCTAACTCTTCCACTGCAATTTCTCTGCAATCATTGCCTTCATCTTTTTTAATACTTAATTTAAATCACAAACAAGAGAGCATCAACTGAGGCAAGGGGGCCAACCCACTGAAGCTGGTTATTAAGTCATGAC